GAAGAGCCCACCCCCCCCACTCTTAGTTGGAGGTCGTGAATGCTGTGAAATGGAAAAGGCAAAAGGATCCCTTGGGGTCTGAACATCAATGACTCCACTAAGGACTGGTGACCTCTTAGGTCTAAGAGTCGCTTCCCGTGAGCCAACAAACACTCTCTGAAACACATTCCACCAGACACTCAATAATTTTTCCATAATAGCCTTTAATACTAAAATGCATTAAATTTTTGAAGCAGAGAAAACACATTTAAAGGGGGAAACAGAGAACCACCAGATAAAAGGAAACAATGTGGCAGATAACACCATTTGAAACATAACTGTAATAATTTAATAAAGCTGCTTTATCATCTTCATAAAATAGACAGTGGTGATTCTTTTTTGTCTTTTTTCTTTTTACAACGATTCAATCACTGTGAAAATGTACATAACATACAGATCAGCATATACAACAATTTCATCTTCATATAATCAGCAACAGAGACTGCTTAATGAGACATACTGTACTTGCATCCCTCTAAATTTCCACCCTGGTTTGACAGGTAAACAGTAATAGTGTCATCAGGCTCATTCCCCTCACTAGAGGAGCGAAGGCGTAAGCCTTTTGCAACTAATACCTTAGCATTCAAATAGCACAAGGAGGTATTTGTTGCTGATTTCTAGCTTGAGCTAGTCTGGCTCTTGGTCATTAAAGTCTGTATCCTAGCCTTCCTCAGCTGAACGCCAGCCAGTGCCAGTAAAAATCTACTTAACCAGTGCTGTAATGGTGTTAGCTGGTTTGTTTGCTAAGGTTGACAGCAACTTTCAGTTAGTAACAAGGTCCTCTTGAATTGCCAACACAGCTGGATCAACAGTCAGCATCATCAGTTTTCCCTAATGACCTACAATGCTTTCCAATCAAGATCAGGTGTTTGTGGGTTTTTCTTTACCAAGAGCGCCTTCCAATCTATATATCAGACAAGGTGGTAAATTTTCTTTGTTTCACAAAAGCAATATGATTCCTATTTGAAATTAATTCACTTTTGCACAACAAGTGACCCACGGGCCAATTCCAGCGGCACAAGAAAACAAAGAGAGCTGCAACAACTTCATTAGGACAATGTGTTTTGCTCTGGAATATTTCATTATCAATATAAAGCCACCCGGTCCCAGCCCCACCCCCACACATCCCCTTTGAATATTACTTTGTTACATACTTAAACTAAAGAACAACATCTCAATACACTTCAGTGTCAGCAGATACAATTTGACTCATGAAATGACACCCTTAAATGTAATTTTACCAAGAAGGCAAACACTAGGACTGTATACAATGGATTTCTTAAGCTCATTTATGCCAGTTTTTCAAAGTCAATAAGGGTCTTCCTACCTGGGGTAAAGAGCCAAGTGGACCAAACTTGTCAGAATGCTTTGGGGGAACATTCAACATCAAAATGATCCCCAGAAAGTGGATTGGAATTCCAGCCAAAACTGCTATTATGTACAATAATAATCCTTTTCCACTCTGGATGCCCAATCGAGCTATCCCCTTCACCCTGCCTCTCCCTAAATTGCCCTTTGTCCTTGCTGCTTCAAGTGGACCACTTTTGTTTTGCTTTTTTTAATATGATAGGGCTATAGGGAAAAGTCAGCTAAACTCCCTTCATAAAATCAGTCAGTCATATGCTGAAGTAACACTATCAAGATGATACTCTGGTAGGTTCCAATTTTCAGAGACCTAAATTGTATTTTTTAAAAATATTTTTGATTAGAGATCAGTGGATCACTGAGTGAACAAATTTGTCTAAATGAACACCTTAGGTGCAATTAGCTCTATCAGGCAGGTTTCCACTACAGAAGTGGTACTCGAAGTACGGTCCCTGGATCAGCTGCATCAGTATCATCTAGGAATTTTTACATATGCAAAAATGCAGACCCCACCCCAGACCAACTGAACTGAAAACTCAGGGAACTATCAACCTGTGCTTTAACAAGCCCTCAACCTTTAATGGGCAACTGATTCATAAGTATTTTTGGACCCCACCCCCAGAATTTTTTATTCAATTGGTCTAGGTGGGGATAGAGAATTAGCACTTCTAACAAGTCCCCAAGTAATGTTGTTGCTGCAGATCCAGGAACTACACTTGAGAACCACTGCTCTACAGAAACTGCAGGATCCTTTGGGGGCCCATTATCTATTTCAGCAATAAGGTGGGCCATAATTTACTCTACTGGCTTTAAGAGGATCAAAGGGACGGTAAGTTTAATTCTGAACAGGTTCACAGATTAGTCCCTAAAGGGAAGAGAAAAAAGGGATTCCACATGCCATTGCCCCCTTCTCCTTTGTTATGTTGTATATCCCCATATTTGGAGGAAAGCAATCAATGTAAACCAAACCCCTTATTTTGGATGAAGAAGTTTACCTGTCTGGGGAAGGATGAAGAAGTTTACCTGTCTGGGGAATTGCCAAAGCAGTTATCATTAAAGTATGTCACACTTCAACACCAACTCCTCCTTAAAAGGGACATCAGAATAAACGGAATAGAACTGCCTAGGACTTAGGAACCAAAATCACTCCCTTGAGTTTACGTGTGCAACATGTTTAGAGAACGAAAAGGAAGAATATTTGGCCCTGTGGACCTTGTAGCTTTTCACCAGACATGCCAAAAAGGAGAAGGTGGGGCGGGGGGCAGGGGAGTGGGGATACATGAGCCAAAGGGAAATTTAGGATCCTTGCTCAGAATGCCTATTTGCAGGTACAGCCTGCCTACAAAACCAGTTTAGTTTACAAAGCCCTCCTAGTATGCACTTGTGCTTCTGAGAGGACAATTTCTTAATGAGAGGAATTCTCTGAACATGCTCAGTGAGGTTTGGAAGCCAAAAAAAATCTGACTGCCCACTGAGAACAAGGTATTTGGATAGGGAAGAAGGATGGATCTATAACTTGAAGATGAATTATGAAAAGAAATGAAGAAAACCCAAGAGAAAAGCAAAATCAATGCCAATGCCACTCTAACCATTTAAAACTTGGTTAGTAAGAGGCATGGCAGCCAGTGGCTTCTCTGGCTCAACAGCCACGTGACAATTAATGTTCCCACTTTCCACAATCTTTTCTGCTCCCTCGTTCCCACTGAGCATAGCAAGAAATACACCTGTAGAAAACTGTAGAGTCTGACTTCAAAGTGACCTTGAAATGGCAGCTAATAACATATCAGGATAGATCAGGGTGAGAAACAGTCTAAATTCTATATAGGCAGCCATCATAACTTAAAGGGGAAATTTAAAAAAAAATTTTAATGTGTTAATCAAATAGTCACTTGCAAAGAGAAATAAATACTTAATTCAAAATCCACTACCAAAATGAAATAAATCAGAGGGAGAAAACTGTATGAGAGGCAATGAAATAAGGAAAAATAAAGATGTTATGGTAATTCATCCTTAATTGTGTCAGTTTCAGAAGGAAATTTGCAGCCACACCAATATTTTGCATGAGGTAGTATTCAGCACTGAATAAGAAATAAGGATGGATTTGTAGCTTCATTATAAGTTCTTTTTCAGAAACGTTCTCCCCTACCTAACCCCATCCCTACTGCCTTACCCACCCCCTCCCTCAAAACCCTTCTCCCTCCCATAAAAGAAAATACTCCTAGTAATGTGTAAAGCTAGGAACTCAGGCAAAAATAAGTAAAACATTCAAAAGAGCTGACTTATCTACCTAAACTTAAGAAAATAAATCCTCTATTGCATTCTAGTGATCTAACCTCTAGGCCTTCTCTCTGTGTACTCTTGAATTTCAAAAAATGAAACAAATGAAAACAGAACCATAAAACTTGTTTCTCTAGAAACAACTCTCTTAAGACCAAGGCAGAACAAAGGTGACATATTTCTTTAGTTTATTTTTAAATAATGAACTCTTAGGCTGCAAAAATACTATGTTGGCTAGTGAATATTAATAGACAAAAGATAAATGGGGGAGTTAGAGGAATGTTAAAACAGAAAAAAAGGATGTACAGTTTAATTTTAAAAGGGCGTATTCCTAGCCTACAGCAAAAAGAGTTGGCTAAATCTAAAGGATTTTTATTTTAATATTTTCTTGTTCACATTTTTAATCAAAAAAGTATTAGTCATAAAAAGACGAGTTCAAGTGTCTGAGTGTCTCCGTTTAGAAGGCACAGTAATGGGATTAGCGATGCTGTTACCTGTTACTTGTCTTTTCCAAAATGTACACTTTGTACTGCTTACTCTATCCCTATGTATAAGCCTAAGATACAGAGCAACATGGAGTTCTCAATTCCAGCCCATGACGTGCTTTGCAGTCTGATTCTAATCATGATTGGGAAACACTGAATCAGGAAGTGTGTGTCTGAAGAGATGCTAATTTAGATCTTAAAATAGATTCAGTCATCTTCAGTTTTAGATGATTGGAGAGAGGGAATTTCTAAGCCTGGAAACATAACTTCAGGAGCAACTTTCCTGTTCAGGGCCTGAAAATTTAAAAGATGAATGCCATAAAACTTTCAGCACAGTATTTCTGACAACTGCAAATTAGAGAGCAGCCTATCCAAAAATGACTTTCTGCAATGATCTATCATGGACCTGGGCAGACCACCGAAAGGCAGGAAAAATACTTTGCAAAGTGGTGAGCAATCACTACATGAGTTAAAAAACGTGAGTATTCTCCAAGTACTCAATCTATATGCGTGGTGTTGCTCATTCATTTGCTGTCTCAGTTGTTTGCACTGTTTTTGTCTGTAGTTTTATTATTTTTTTAAGAAAAAGAAAACACCAACCTTTAAAAGCCTTTTGCCATCACCACACACATAGCAATTTGCAATATCAAATACAACAATAGCACAGCTAGCAAAAGGGTTTTTAAAGCAGGGGTGTCCACAGCAAAGTAGCGGCATTGGGAAGTACTCGAGCTTCAGAAACAACCTTTTAGGGGCTCAATTTCACATCACTGAATCAATGAATAGTACACAATAAATGACCATTAACTTGTCTACACTACAAAAAACAGTGGCGAGCTTATTAAAGGTGTCCAGAGCTTTTTTTTTTTTTTCACTTTTTGCTTTTTTAAATGTAATCCTCCACAAACAATGGTAATTTATATTATAATTTTGACATAGAAAAATATATAAATTCAAACACTTAATACATAATACTTTTCACAACTGAATTTGTCTCTGTTTCCCCAACATCAAGGCCCCATGAACAACTCAAGCCAAAGCTAATTTGCTCCAACTGAACACCCCCGCCGCCTGTTGAAACAAGGGATTGTCACGGAATGATAGTCACCTATAAACAATACATTTAGGAAAAGCTCTGAAATATAGCCACTCAAGAACCAACCATTGGTGAGCAATTAAAATAAGAAGCTCCTGCTTCTTCACTAGCCACTGTGGTTTCTTTCTCTTCTTCCCGGAGACTGGTTTAGAGAACGATATCCTTCAGACGCTTCACACCAGGGGACTCTTTGTGGCGACCTTCCTTCAGAATGGGGTTGACCTCGTGCATGACTTTCTCGCTGTCAGCTCCACGGGGCTCAGCTTCAGAGGGACGAGCAGGGCCATTGTTGACATTGTTGACATACTGCTCCAGATCACGGGCCGGGGGAGCCAGGGCAATGGTGTAAGACACGGAAGGCTTGGTGGGCAGAGGGCTCTTGAGGTGGAGGGGGGAGGTGACAGGGCTAATCGCCTCACAGCCATTGCCTGCCTCCCGGATAACGCTGCTGACCTTGGGGCTGCAGATGGTCACATCGACAGTCCTCTTGCCTTTCAGGGTGGGCCTCTCCTCAGCCGGGTGGTCGCTGACATCTTTCCCAAAGGTTGCGAAAGTCCGTTTGGTGGGGCCGCAGTCGTCGTAAGCCTCAACATCAGCAGCAGTAGCTTCAATAGACAGCGCGATGATGTTCCTCACATGCTCAGGGGACTTGGAACGGATGGGCATGGGGTTCCGGGGCATCCAGCACCTGTCAGAGTGGCCAAGAATCCGGCATTCTTCCCGGCAATGAAATCCTTCATTCTGATCTGTTTGGGAAAAAAGAAAATATCAATTTCATCAGCTTTTCCCAGGAATCATTGTTACTCCCCAGTGCTCTGGTTTCTTAGATATCCACAGGCCCTTCTGGGAAATGGCACTTTTAGGTAGTCCTTTATTGCCTTTTGGGACAAGTGTGAAGAATTGGATTTTTAAAAGGCTGTAGATCTCCCTCTATGTACATCCTTTTTAAGGTTCCCACTACTGACAAAACAAAAAACCTAAAGGGAAACACATCATGATGAAAACACATATATATTCTAAAGTTCATCTGGAATGTCAAGGTGCTGAGAGTCAGCATTTTAATCAACAACTGCTGCTAAAAATCACCTATGTTTGAAACTGGATTCAGCAGATGAGGGAGCAGAGGCAGGGAAGGGAATCCAAGTGTCAGTATATTTAAGAAGCCTTGGCCATATTTTTGAACAACAGCACTGCCGAACACCCTTCCACTCTACCCATCACTGATACACAGTGCTTAATTTAAGTTTAGATTGATATCCTACTCTCTGTGAAAGCCCAATCACACCCCTTCTTTTTGACCACCAGTCCCACCGGCCAATCTCCTCACTATGCCACTTCCATGACTTGATTTCCCATCAGAAGGAATAAACTGAGATCCCTTCTTTCCAGCTGACCCATAAGCTTCAATTGGCCCTATGCAAACATCAGTCACATGTTGGGCATTGTTAATTAGACCCAACTAGCCATCCCTCCTTATCTTTCTTATCTGCAGTTTTGTTAGAGAAATATTTCTTAAAGAAATCTTTCATGGATTATTTTAACTCCATCCTGGAAGATCTCAGCAGTTACAATTCACAATTATTGGGGAGACATAGATTTATCTTTCCAGGTCAGGTTCACTAAGGGTTAAAGTTTCAATTTGGCTCTCAGAGAGGCTTACTACACAGGCTTTACCAAGGCATGGACCCAGGGTTAACTTCTGCCTGTCACTGGAAAACTGTTAATCTCAATGTTTGTTTTATAGCCTCAGTTTTCCAGATCTATTTATATTTATGTTACATTCTTGCAAGAATTTTCATTAGGATGACCTAATGAAAATTTTCATCGCATTGCACAATGCATCAAAATAGGAGCAGCTTAACATTTACAGAAAAAATATATATATACACATATGTATATAGAATATATATATTTATGCTGTGACTGATTTTTTACAGGGGAAAGATGTCTGCAATTCAGAGTCTTACTTGGCATCAGTCTGGATATAACACACCTTCCTTGTATACCTGTATTTCTATATTTTTGGTGTTTTTTTGCTTGCTTCTTCATTGTTTTTAAAGAGTAAATGGCATAGCAGAGCAACGTACTGCTATGCCTCATTCATCAAAGGTTCTTTGGTGAAGGGGCACAAGGCAGAGGGCTCAAGGAATAATGGTTGAATTGGCTGTACACTTCATTATTTGGAGGAAAGACATTAGAAGCCTGTTAAATATCAAGGACTTAATCCAAGCTAAATCCAGCTTTCAACACAATTCTGGGCATGGCCCTTGACCTCATTTAAGCTACTTAAAAGCAAACTAAAGACAAGATCTCTTCAGTGTACCTGGACATAATTTGCCAATTTATCTTTAAGATGGGCACTTCCATCCCCCTTTCAGTGCTGGGGAATGAAACACTCAGAATTTTGCACAGTGGAACCAAATAACAAATGAACAACATGGCAAACAGGAAAAGTGCCTTCCACATAGATAGGACAATGTTTCTGCAAACTCCAGCACAGTTCCACATCAGGCTGCATGGCCACTTCTGCAAAATGAAAGGTCAAGGCCCTTTCTCTGCCCCTTCCCTGCAAACTCTTCTGTGTTGCCATCTGATACCCTATTATCATTCAACATGCATGTACCTGGGAGGCAGAAAATATGAAAGTAAGGGAAGCATTTTGGGATATACTTGAGAAGCACTTTGTGTAGACTAAACAGTATGAGTGGAAGAGTTAGTTGATCTACTTTTAATCAGTTTCCTCCAAATATAGTGCTTTCCACAGGAGGTCCCAAGATCCCTCAGGTAGAACGGAAGTCACATCTTTAGGGTTTCTTAGTAAGCTGTGTTTGCCTCTTCATCTCTTCTGAGGCCTATCTGGTAACTTTCCAAATAATATCTCTAAAAAATTAGTGAAAGTGTTTCAGGGTAGAGAGAGTAAGCAGTTGCAGGTGAGGGAAAAGTTCAATAAATTATTTCCATTTCTACAAATCAGAGTAAAAATCCCTGGAAGCCAGTAAAAAATGTCCAGAAGGCTATAAGATCTCTGTCCTTTTTGTCCCTAACTGAAAGGCATAAAAGCATAAAGACCTAACCCTTGAGCCCTGAAACCATGGACATATGATCAACTAAGAAAAGAAAATCCCAGCCAAGATTAAGACTGATATTTCATGCCACTTGCTCACACTTCTAAAGCAGAACAGTAGTAAAGTACAATTGAGTAGAATCTGCCCAATGTCCTCAACATGAAGCTCAACATTTCTTTGAGTTTTTTAATATGAAGTGACTGTCCTCTAATTTTGAGGTTCAGTTTTTTTCAACACCATTCAATAGGAGAATGCCACCCATGTGTCACCCTGAATCTGAGTACGGTGCTCCTTCCCTGTACTAGGCTGCCTCAAAAATGAACAGCACGAGGAGACTTGAATCCCAGAATACAGGGAGGGAGAATAGAGAGCCCAGAGACAGACACCTCCAAGATCTAATAAATCTAGGAAGACCAGAGCAGGGAATTCAATCTTCTCTGAGGCTTCTCTGCATAGACAGTACTTGCCTTCAGCTGACCCACTGTCTAAATGAAACAATCACTGTTGGGAAAAGGGAAATGTAGACTAACTCAGGACACACCCAACAATGCAATCAGTCTAAGCTTCCCCACCAAGCTCACTGAGCCTACCTCAGCTCCATGTGAGCTGGACTCATATGCAGTTTTCTCAGATTACTTATGTAAACTTATATGCACTGCCCTTACCTCATGCAAGTGAAGACTTGAATCTAAGAGATTCTTTTACTCACAATGTCTCATCCTTGGCTTGGATCTGATACCTATATACTTTTTTAAGTCCTTACCAAGGGCACCGAGTTGCTGTTTCTTATTTTTGTGTTTCAGATATTTTGTCACATTTTTGTCTATACAGTTACAATGAAGTCTAACTTAGCTTAAGTACGTTTATAGCCACTTTATATATGAAGTAAAAATGGTTAATATAGACAGGCAGGAAGAGCATCTCTGCCCAGCACAGGGTAATTTACATTCATAAATATACTGCAGATGAATTACCTTTCAAAAATCAAAATTTCAGTTTAGTAAAGAAATTGTGTAGTAAATGTGAGAAAGTCACAATACAAAGCCCCTTAAAAGTAGCAATGAAGACAGACCAGATGTAAAAAAATAAAAATAAAAAAGACTACTTCTGTAACTGTATAGGACTTGTAAAGATCATGTGCCAGCCTTCATGTAGTTTAGTGGCTGGGAAGGGAGTTATGAGACTAGAGAAGAACCATTTTGTAGCATCACAAACTGTCAAGGTGCTGGCTCCAGCTTACATAGAGAGGTGGGCTAACAATTCACTAATTTCCTGCTGAGATTCTTCTTATGAGCCTATTTGTGACTTGATACTTTGCTACATTTTTATCTGAAAGTTCTGACCTGAACCTAGGCAAAGCAAAATATGGCATTCTAAAATCCACATGTAGTTGTGGAAATTCATGTATAGATGAATGAAGGCAGGTATCTTTAATTTAAACATAATCATGATTAGGGTTGACTGATGAATTTGTAAATTGGTTTTCCCTGCTTCTGAAGTTGTTCCTAGGATTTGCAAAACAAACAAGAAAAAGAGAGTGCATAAATTTGGAAGAGGAACATAGATCTTAAGACCAGAGAACTCCTTAGTTCAAAACAAATCTGATTATTTTAGACCATAAAAAAAAAATACAGAAAAAAGTGAAAGTTTCTTCAATCCACATGGTAATAAGTATTTGGGGGTCACAATTTGTCATCAGGAAACTTAGTGAGAGAATCCCAAAACCCCTGGCAAAAAAAAAAAAAACAACCTAAAGCATCAGTCTTGTCAGGGTACAAGAGGCAAAAGAGGCAGTAATACAGTAATGACTAACTCATGATGGATTAAGGAAGTAATTCAAATAGAAAAAGACCAGAATATGTTATTTTGTGCAGATAATAGCAAAACTTTATGTAGCAATTACTACTCTCCTCAGGATATGAAACTGCCGTCTCCTCAGATGTGGGCAAACAATGTACTTCCACACTAGAAAGAGCCTACCCATGGTCCCCACCAAAGTAATAAAAGAAAATGATGAAAACCTCATTTCAGGCTTTGCTAAAACTTTCAAAGTCCTGGTGGGATAGATGAGCTAAGAGGCTCTGCTGGGCTTGTATAGATATCCAGTCACAATGGATGTGTTCGATAACGCTGGCAGTTCTTTACTGTGATTCAGAGTTCGGGTGTATTAACTCAAAGATCCTAATGATCACAGACAAAAATCCAACACTAAAATAGTTCAAGGTTACAGTTACAAGAGCAATATGTTTCCTCTTCAGAAATAATCTGCAATCAATGAAGCAGAAAGAAAAAAGTTAAAGTGAGTTCCAGTTCCTGAGAGCTCAAGTAGTTGGCTACTTCTAAGTGGCAGCAGTAACAGAACCAGCAAGCAAGTGATGTGCATATCAGAAAAGCTTCCTGAATTGTACTCTTATACATCTACTTAGCTTATTCTGCATCACCTCATGAACAAGACAATCTGTAACCAAAGAAGGGCCATTTTTTTGTGAGATATAATGGAAGAGATTATGGCAATGATTATGAAGAAGTTTAGTGGTGTTAAAATTGGTCACATGTGCCTAATCAAGGAAATATAACTGTTGAGAAGTCCACCTCCCACCCTTGACCTATCTAACACCTACTCGATGAAGCAGAGATAACTAATTACCTGCCAAATATCTTTATCTGTTTTTGTTAAATAG